GCGGGAGAACATTTCAAACTGGATTTAAGGAAGCACTTCTTTACACAGCGTGTAGTCAGAGTATGGAATAGTCTTCCTGATAATGTAGTACAAGCTGAATCCTTGGGTTCCTTTAAATCAGAGCTAGATAAGATTTTAACAACTCTGAGCTATTAGTTAAGTTCTCCCCAAGCGAGCTCAATGGGCCGAATGGCCTCCTCTCGTTTGTATAGTTCTTATGTTCTTATGTTCTGTATTCAAAAGAACATAAAGGACCTCAGTTCTGTCCCGTTACTGTGACACATTTTTCATTCCAGTGAGGAAGATATAAACACACAGACATTTATGTTCACAGACACACATACACACACAATGGTCAGAGCAAACACACACACACAATTCACGGTCAGAGCAAATACACACAGAAATTGGTTATAGCATGCACACAAACACACACACACACACGCACATCATCCTGGTTAGAACACACATACACACAGCACCCCAGAGTGCACACACACACTATTGGTCAAAAGTTTTAGAACACCTCAGGTTTTGTAGTTTTTCTTTAGATTTAATCAGTTTAAATCCAATGATTGACCTGAAAGATGAAGTCTGAGGTGAACAGCAAACCACCAGAGATTTTTAATAAAACGGTTTAGATCAGCAAAAATGGAAGGAAACAATGAAAATATCAATTATAAAAAGGCCTTTTTTAAGGGACAATTAATAAGTTAGTAACTAACAGCTGTTCTGTGAGTATTAAAGTAAATTACTCTTGGCAAGTTGAAACAAACAATTTACAGAGGTGTCCCAACTTCTGAGAACTTACAAATTATCTGTGCATGTTAAAGACAGCTGGAACAGACGGTGTTACTATAAACTTTGAAATGTTGCTTGAACAGTATTACACCACTGGTAGCTGTATATAATGATGATCATGGTGAGCAAACAGCAATTAACAAGATAAATGAGAGAGAACATTATAACCCTTAGAAATGTAAGACTCTCATTTAGAGAAATTGCAGAGAAAATCTGAGTGCCAGTGAGCACAGTGTCCCACACCATCCTAAGACAACTGGAAACTGGAGAGATCTGGCAGACCTAAAGTCACAAAACTAATCAGAAGACAGTTTTCCGAGAGTCACCAGCTTGTGTGAAAGGCACCTCACTGGACAACAGCTTCAAGCACAGCTTAACAGTGGTGGAAGTAAATCAGTCTCACTGTCAGCTGTGAAGAGAAGACCTCCAGATGCAGGTTTGACAGGTCGATTAGCAGTAAGAAAGCCGTCACTAAAATGGCAAAATGAGAAAAAGAGGCTTGTCTGAGTCATGAACTACTGCCAGTGAATCACTGAAGACTGGAAGAAAGTCTTATGGAGAGAGGAATCAAAATTTGAAATCTGTTTCATCACGCAGGATGTTTGTATGCCGCCGAGTAGGTGAAAGGATGGTTCCTCAGTGTGTAACACCAACTGTCAGACATGGTAGAGAAAAGACCTGTCATCGATGCCCACTGCTTTTAAAATTGCATAATGACTATTGATATATGTATATAGCATATGTTTACAATGACAAGTAAGCAATCATAAAATGTGAGAAAACACTATATTGTAATTAAAAAGGTGCGGAAATGTAGTTTACCCTCCACTACACCCTTGACACCAACATATTACCTTCTCATCTCTCTAAGGCAAGGGTCTCTGACCTTACTTACTGTGTGAGCTAATTTCGCAAAAATAAAAATAAACTGGAGTCCTACGGGGGGGTGGGGGGGGGGCGACAGTACATTTGGGTCATTCCATGTCAAATCATCACACTTTCGGACCTCATCGTCACGGATTTTAATGAAACTTGGCATGCCGATTTGGTCACATGAGTAACTCATGAAACTGAAATTGGGCGTGTCTTGGATCAATATTGAGGGAGATTTAAGCGAACAAAATTTTAACTTTTTTTTGGGGGGGACTATGATTTTGACTGGCTATATTTACCTTAATATAAGCTGCACAGAAATGGTCCTCATATTGTTTTCAAGTTATTGTCCAGCTCTATAGATTGAACAAATAATATGCCATCCCAATATGAATAATTACTATGTAATAACTGATTAAAATATTAAAAATTCAATAACAAAAAAAAAACTATATTTCGAAATGGATCTTTTTTTTTTTTTTACTAAATCTAGCTCATAGGTGTCTTGAACATCTTCAGAAAATTTGGTCTTTGGTTTTTAAGGTGTTGCTGAGATATCTTGACTTAAAGGGAGTGTCACATGGTTTCATATCACTAATGGGCCTTTCTAATGGCAGCCAAACTGACATGAAATCGTATAACAAGCACAGTGTAATTAATGACATTAATAAAGATTACAAATATGCTACAATGAAATTTAATGGAAGCTTCATTAATGTCATTGCAGACACCTGTACTTGCCATACTATTGAAAAGGCCCACATGGCTAGTAAATATGGCTAATAAATGCCCTGCATTCATCAGAGGTGAGTGAGGTGTGCAATAGGGAATCACTCGACTTTGCAGGCATCAAAGGTTATGATGTGGCTGCATATGATGATAATTGGTGGCTAGGATGTGTTGAAGAAACTATTCCCAGCACTGGAGAGTTGAGACAGGTTTTTACATCCTCATGGACCATCTCCATCCTATTCATTCCCATTCCATCCTGACAGACTTGTTATGGATCATCAGGATGTGCTTTTAGTAGTTGAACCTGTGACAGCAACAGGGCGGACATACACAATTTCAAGCATAGACACAATAGCTGCATCAAAGGCTCTGATGGACTATAAATTGAGAGTACAATCAGCTCCCGCGCATTCACGCTTCGTGATTCATGAATTCACAGATCCGTGAAAGTTACATGTACATGTTTCCTTTGCGTATTTTATTGAATTGTACCTTGGTTACATATATGACTTCTGTCAATAAGTTTACAGTCCCATTGGTTTACTCATTTTACCTTACTATGAATGCAAAAGAAAACGGCAGCCAATGCCGTGTTCTATGAATTAGTAGGGGTAACATTAGTATACTGTACTGTAAATGTGCTAGTGTGACAAATATCTGTTAGGCGATACTGTACTCTATTTTTGCATCAAACATTTGTTTTTTTAAAGGTAATGTATTAAGCTAACTTTTACATGAAATTAAAGTGTTTTGGGAGCATGACTGTGGTCATATTTAGGGTTTAAACTATAAAAATAAGCACATATTACCATTTTTAGTGACTCTATCAAACAACCGTAAATGCTCCGTAAAACCGCGAATGTCCGAGGTCTGACTGTATAGCAATTGTTTATGTTCTTACATTCCCACCTTTCTGTCACGTTACGCGGAGCAGGCAAGCAGGCGAGCTGTGCCGGACCGACAGGTAAACGGGTTTTATTGGCAACACAAGGGCAGACATCCACGAACTTCACAACAATACAATTACAGATCTGGGCATACTGACTGGGACGCGGACTAAATACATAAGACAGGCTGAATTCAACAAGCAACAGGTGAGTACAATCAGGAAGTCACAAGAGGTAACGAGGGGGGCATGGCAAACACGAGGATCGTACGAGCTGGGCGTGACACTTCCCTTTAAATAGTACTGCTTGTATGTAACTTATGCATTACTACACCAATGTTGAAATGCTTTCCTTGCCCTAGTAGCATAAAAGCCTATCTAGTTTGTTTATTTTTGTTAGTTTTTCAGATTTTGACAAATGAAGGCCCCTTTTAGTAGGCCAGTGTCTAGTCAAAAGTGTAAACTTAAAGAGGAAAATATTCTGATTGTACCATTAATTATCTTTTTTTCCAATTACTTTGGCAATATTGTCTTTTTATTCATTTTTAATAGTAATTTGAAATGTTTTAATTTAAATTATATTTCCACAGCTAGTTCTGGCAATAGTTGAAGTTAATAATAACCCTGTACATGCATTGATCACTAACTGCTATTCTGCTACTGCTAACAGCATTGTAAGGAGCTGTGGTTTTGATACACATTTCACATAAGTAATGATATCTCAGCAACAACTCAAAAACCAAAGAAAAAACCAATTTTCTGGGGATGTTCATGATATTATCTTTAGTAAAAATTGATCAATTTTGAAATATAGGGTTTTGTTATTGAATTTTTAATATTTTAATGTTATTACATAGTAATTATTCATATGGGGATGGCATATTATTTGTTCAATCTATAGAGCTGAACAATAGCTTTAAAACAATATGAGGACCATTTCTGTGCAGCTTATATTAATGTAAATATAGCCAGTCAAAGTCATAGTCCCCCCCCCCCAAAAAAAAAGTCAAAACTTTGTTCGCTTAAATCTCCCTCAATATTGATCCAAGACACGCCCAATTTCAGTTTCATGAGTTACTCATGTGACCAAATCAGCATGCCAAATTTCGTTAAAATCCGTGACGATGAGGTCCGAAAGTTTGATGATTTGACATGGAATGACTCATTTAAAATCAATAATCCTTTCATGTCCACAGCAGTGCGGCATTTCAGCAAAGTGAAATACATGCTTACTGGCGAAATACAAAGAAACCCCCAATTTCTAATAAATATTATACTGACTACCCTGCGGGCTACTATAGAAGCTAGCAGTCGCTATGTTGGCGACCGTTGCTGTAGACTGTGTAGAGTTTATCTGTTTGTTCTTCTGTGAATTATGTGCAAGGACAAGATATAAATATATATTGTTAATAGGACATTTTGTGTTTAGTCTCATAATGCAAATAATAAAAATAATTACTCAACCAGTTACTCTGCTGACATTATAATTTACCAAAAAATGAAAGTAATATTCAAAAAGGTTGTAACGTTGCATGTTTGTCAGAAGGAGGCGCTAAGTCCAGTTGAATGTGGATGTTTTGTGGAACTTCCGCTGTCCGGATATTCACTCTGATCACGCACGACTTACAGGTCACACCAGTTATGCTAACGGTTAGCATTCGCGGTCTAAATTTACCGACACGTAGCTGCCTTTTTCGAATTTAATTTTAAAGAATTCCTGGGTTATATAATCCATGAAACTAGCGACCTGAAAGTTTGCCTTCCGTGTGAAAAGAAAGTAAGCTTTTCGGCTGTTAACGACAGACACGCTTTTAAACACAAAGTTTAATAGTACAGTATCTGCCAGATCAGTTCGTTCGCGTTTGTTGATAAGTGTTTGTATAGTCGATGAATAGAAGCTGAACGTTAAGCACCGCGTCTCCAGCACGATCATGACGCTTCAGGTAGGGTGCCTGTCTTTCCGGCAGCCCTACGCGGGCTTGGTGTTGAATGGCGTGAAGACCATTGAAACGCGATGGCGGCCTCTGCTGTCGGGGCTGAATAACTGCACCCTAGCGGTTCATATCGCGCAGAAGGACTGGGAGGGCGACGAATGGAGGGATGTGCTCAGGGACTCCATCGGCATGAGCGAGCGGCAGATAGAAGAGCTCCTAGTGTCCGGCGAAAGGTTTGGCCGGGGAGTGGTGGCAGGTAAAAGTTAGACCAATGTTCATTAGCTGAATACCATCATCACTGAATACCATTCTCATTAAAAATAAGGATACAGCCAAGGATGCAATTACATGTATATTTTGTTTTGAAATGAATTGCAGTTCTAAACATAACAGGGTGAATGCAATATATAATACTATGAATATACTGCAGGGGGCAGTATATAGCACTCGACATCCTGATTTTCCCGAGTTCAACGCGTCTCCCGGTCAACAAGGGATTGCCTTGTGTTTCAGTTCCTTAACCAATCACAGTCTTCATCGTATGACATCACCACATCGGTCTGTTCTTTTCTCATTTTCAAACTGAAGACGTCCGGCCATTAAGCCGGGGACGGTGTGTGGCTCAGTGGCTTAGCCTCTGTAGCTGTGAGCGGAAGGTCTCTGGTTTGAGCCCGGCCTTGACAGAATCACCGCGTGTCCCTGAGGCCTTTCGCAGGGTCCCTAACCCTCAGCTTATTGTTTTATTATCATGAAATAAAGACGCTCCCTTACATTGCTGCGCAGCCTTTGCAGGTGAGCATGTTCTTATGCCCCTTAACAAAAGGCAGACGCAATAAAAATGGTACTTTACAAATCTGTGCACCTTTCCACTTTACAGAAAGCACAGTTTTTAATGAATGTGGTGATGTCATACAATGAAGACCGTGATTGGTTACGGAAGTGAAACACAAGCCCCTTCCTTGTCGGCTCAGGGACCAGCTGAACTCAGGAGAATCCAGCCATGCTTCAGATCCTGGGGCTGGGAGCTGATGCTGCGTTTGGGCCCCAGAGCAAAGCCCATAGCCCCCAGGTCCAGGGGGGCTGAACGCAGACACCCTGCACTGTCTCCCCCAAGCCTGCTGTCATCTGGATATGTGTCTGTGTCTCATGGAGAGCAGGATGGGACAGGAGAAAAGACCAATTTCCTCA